CGGCCATTTCTTTCTTCAAGTATGACATCAGTTTATCGAAAGAGTTTATGCTGAATGTACAATTTTTTAAATTCGAAATAAAATCGAAACAGAAATTTTAAAAAGAAAAGTTTTTTTTGTGAAAGTCTATTTGTGTAAGGAGCAATGGCTAAATAAAATTTAAAAGTTATTTAGTGTGAGAGATAGTGAAAGGTTTTTTTTTCTTAACAGAAAAAAAGTTCTTTTTAAATTTTATAATAATGTATCGAAAATAATTTTTAAATATTTCCATTATATCAATTTATTTTTAATCTATCTTTTACCAAAAAAACAAAAAAAAAAAATTTTTTTTATCGTAACCCAAGACGGTTTTTGTGTAATATATTCTGTACGCAATGAACCGAACAAGGTCAAAATGGATGATAGGTTGACATTCAAATAAATTACTTTGTTACTAAATTCAACGTATATATCCAAACAAATAACGTTTATATAAATCCAAACATATATTTTCCTAAATATTTATATTATTAAAAGTGTTTACCTATTTTTTTTTTCAAAATTACTTTTTAATACCTTCGCAGTATAAATTGACAATTTAAAAATAAACTTTATGTCATGTAATATTTATAAATATGATATTATATTAATATACACAATTTAACTTCATAACATTGTAACAAATGCACACTAAAGTTCGTTAAAAAAAAACATTTATTTAAATTTACTTACTTACATCTAATTAATGAATTTTTTTAAATAAAAAAAAAACATAAATTGTTTTTTAATAATGTAAAACTTCATTACCAGAAGAAAGGAAATTAATAAAAAAATGTTTTCCCGCCAAAAAATTTCCTTTTTAGTTATACATAGATGTCTCTTATGTCATTTTTATTTCTATTTCTAACCGCCTCATGTTTTCAATTGTGTTTATAATTATCTTCTACGCCTGTTACGTTACATTTAAATTAATCAATAATCGACGACAGTATTTAAGGCTCACATACATTAAATTATATTGCTTATTTAATTTTTTAAAAAATTTTTATTATTAACAATTCAAATGAATATCAAATAAAATAAATTTTTATTTTGATAAATGTTAATCAAAGAGGTAACCTATTTACTCTATTATTTGTATACGCCATCGTTTAGCTTATTTACTTAGTGTTTTATAAACACATTTAATTAAATTTTTTTGTTTTCTTTTATGTAATTTTTATTGATTTCAGTCAAAATTATTATGTATTTAATTTTTTTTTAAATTATGTTTTTTTTTTAAAAAAAATTTGAGGGCAAATTTTATTTTGCTTATGCTTGGTTAAAGTGGTATGAATTGTATAGAAAATATGAAATATCAAAGCATTGTATTTATAAAAATTCTAAAATTTACTTTTTTTAATTGAATTTATTTATTTACTCAACAATTATTTTTTTTTTTTTAGGTTTAATAAAATAATGTTTCAGTATTATATATATTCATAAACATGGCTACCAAAACCATAAAAAATCCTAGTGATATTGTTGATGATAATTGTGATGTCTTGGTTACATCTTCAGAATTTATAGCAGGTAAATCAAGCCGATTTAACAAATTTTTAGTATAATTCTTTTTTAAATATTAATTTTTGAAACTAAATCAAGTGTTTTAATTATCCAAAATCAACACAAAGAAATAAATTTGTTTTTTTTTCTTTTTTTTTTTAGAAAAATTATATTTTGTAGTTCTGAGAACTCCTTACAAACCTCATTACACTCAAAATATTCATTTTTTTACAATTGATGAAGAGTTAAAATATGATCCTTTTCTCGAGGACTTTGGCCCTTTAAATTTAGCATTATTATACAGATATTGCTATAAATTAAATTTTAAATTAAAAGCACCCAGTTTGCTTAATAAAAAAATAGTACATTACACAACTCTTAAACCGAAAAAAAGAGTAAATGCAGCTTATTTAGCTGGGGCCTATGCTGTGAGTATAATTAATGATGTGATAATAGTTATTTGTGTTTAAAAGCAAAACACTTTCAGGTCTCTTTATTTTTTTTTAAATTTAAGATTATTTATCTTAACATGAGTCCAACTGATGTGTACAACAAGCTGAATAAAAAAGAAGCTCCTCCATTTCGAGACTTTAGAGATGCATCCAATGGTTGTGCCCTTTATGAAATCTCTCTTTTAGACTGTTTAAATGCAATTTATCAAGCTCATAAGTTAAAATTTTTTGATTTCGATGATTTTAATGTTAACGAGTATGAATATTATGAGGTTAGTTTTTCCTTTTTTTTTTTTTTTTGTTTAAATATATTTAAAAACTACAAAAAAAATTGTTTATTTATTTTTAACTATTATTTATTAATTTATTTGGTTTATTATTTTAGACTGTTCAAAATGGAGATTTAAATTGGATTGTCCCCAATAAGTTTTTGGCATTTGCCGGTCCACAGTCAAAAGATTATGTAAATTGTAAGTTATTTCATTATTATTATTATCAAGTTATTACATGTTTTAGAATTTTAACATATTTTTGTTTTTATTAACAGATGGTAAAAATCGAATATTAAATCCTCTGATTCGAACTCCCGAGTCTTATGTCAGATATTTCAGGGAAAATAATGTTACAACCATAGTAAGGTTAAATAATAAACTGTATGATGCTTCAAAATTTACAAAGGAGGGTTTTACTCACGTTGATTTGTTTTTCATTGATGGAAGTACGCCAAGTGACGATTTGGTAAATAAATTTTTAACTGTGTCTGAAACATCGAGTGGAGCTGTAGCAGTTCATTGCAAAGGTTTTTACAACATTTTTTGTTTTGATAAAATTATAATTTTAAAGGCGGCACATGTTTTAATTTTATAAACTTTAATAAATTTTAGCTGGTCTCGGAAGAACTGGATCAATGATAGCTTGTTATTTAATGAAATGGTATAGATTTACTGCTAGGGAAGCAATTGCTTGGATTAGAATTTGCAGACCAGCTTCCATAATAGGTCATCAGCAAGAATGGTTGGAAATGTAAGTGTTAACCAAAACTTTTCGTTGAAATCAAAAAAAAAAAAAAAACGTTACTGTTAAAATTTATTATTTAAAAATTTATTAAATATTTGCATTTAATCAATCAATAATAAATTAAAACGTTCATTGTTTGTATCTAATTTTAATAAAAAAACTAATTTTAATAGTTTTGGAAATGTGCGTGGGAAGCGGAACTGTGCGTGTGGGAGGCTTAATACTACTTTGGAAAATACGTTTTATCCTGATTTTCAGCAATATATATGTATATAAGTGTGTGTGTGTGTGTTTGTGCGTGTGCGTTTGTTTGCTAATATTAATAACAAATTTATATTTAAATTTTAATTTTAAGGTTAATATATACACATTAGTAGTGTCTTTACTATTTTCGAATGAAAAAGAAGAAATTTCTCTGCTTTTAATTATGTCAGCTGTTATTTTCGCGAAGGTTAATTTCAATTTTTTTTTATAAATAAACTTGTTATATACGGTCGACGTCCTCACAAATTTTGCAAGTTGTTTCTACCTGATTTGAATTTTTTTTTATATTTTTAATTGTAGGAGTTCATTTTGGTCTGATTGCTTCCTACTCGCTGATTAAGCATTAGTCAGAATATTTTTTTTTTACCTCATCAAAAGTTTAATTTGACATTTGAACGTTATTGAATTATTCATTTTTTCTAAAATCAAAACATTAAACCTTTTTTTTTTTAGCTTTTGTAATAAAGAACTTTAAAAAATAGATTCTTATTTTTTTTTATTTTTAGGAAACAATATGAATTGTGGGCTTTGAATTCTAAACTTACCTCACCGAAACATAGTTTTGGTATATACAGTTACAATGAAAAATCCGCATCGAGGAAAAAAGTAGGCGGAGTTGGTGGAGCTTTGAAACCTGCCAAAGCTGCGAAAGCTTTGCCCGTCGATAACATTTCGAGAATCGCAAATAAAGTCGATAATATGACGATCGAAAATGAAAAAAGTGAAAATAAAAATGAGGATATTAATTTGAAAAAGATTTGTTCTAGAATAACGGACAAAATGGATTTCATGTCGATTGGAAACACGAATCGAAAAGACGAAAATAAAAACGAAGAATTTTTCGAAAAGGTATCTTCGCCACGCCATCTTTGTCCTTATTTAATTCAAATCGAGAGTTTTTCTTTAAACATTATTTATTTCGAATCTATTATTTTGCAGGATTCTTCGAATTTGGAAAATTATTCTTCTTTCGGACAATATTCTTCCGTCGAACAGGGTGACATGTTAAACGAAATAAAAGCAAAAAGAATATCGAGAAATCACGTGCCAAAGGGTATTAGGTAAGGTTCATTGAATACTCAAAAGGTTTTTTTTTTTTATTAAAGTATATGAAATTGAAATCAATGATTGATTGATCGATTGCCAGAATTTTAAATGGGATTTAAAAAATTTTCCGGTTGTTGAAATTGAAAGGAAATAGACGCGAGAGAAAATTTATTCAAAGAGAATAACCGAGAAAAATATTTTTTTTTTTTTTTTTTTTTTTTTAGGAAAAATTGGGGAGGAAATTCGATGAACGGGGTAAAAAAAGTCATAGTCGTAGATAAATTAAATTTAACACATTCTAGGCGACCATTGACGAGATCTAAAACCTCACAATGTTCTTCGTCTAAAAATAACGTCATTAATGAAAATACAAAATTAAATTTTAATTGTTCTACTTCGGTGAAAACTAATGCCACGCCGACACTCAATATGACACTGAGGAGCAGCAATAAAATATATTCTCTCCGGCGGTAAACATATAAACATTGGGGGGTCGAAAAATGGGAAATGGAAAATTATTCGAATAAATAAATAAATGAATCGTTTTTTTTTTGTTTTTTAGCCCGAGGACACCGGAAACTCGTTTGTGTAAAGCATCGTCGGTCAGGTGACTAAAAAAACAAAATTCATCGGACGTGACACGAGATAATAATAAAAGTGGAAATGTTAAAAAAAATGAAGAAAAACAACAAAATTGGAAATTTTCTTCGCAATCGAAATTTACCATAGTGGAATGCGTACGTGACGATTCTACGGATTCATCAGTTTTGACAAAATTTTACAATTCGAGAAAAGTCAAACCTTACGTGCCGATAGAGAATAATAATGGCGGTTGTTGTTTGGCTTTGTACAATGGAAAAGTCGGTAAAGGTTACGCGACCGAGAAATGTATAAACAAACGTGAAAATTGGAAGAAAAAACGAAACAATAATAAAATGGAGTATCAAAAATTTCGAAACGAATAATATTTGCTGGGAATAGTTTAGAGAAAAATAATATGAAATTGAAATTATACAAAAGACGTTTTAAGTTATTTAAAAATCATCATCATTATTTATTAACTTTGATACTTTTTTTTTTTTTTTTTTTTTTTTTTTTGTTCCCAAGTGCCTTAATAGTCAAGTAAATTATTATATTTTTATTTAAAATCTTTAAATCAGTATTTTATAGTAATTTATTTAACGTAAAAAATGTCAAAATTATTCGAAAAAGAAGGAGGGAGGGGAGGGAAAAAAACCGCAAAACTGACTGGTTTGGAAAATTCATAATAATCGAATCGTTGTTTTCCAAAAAAAAAAAAAAAAACGCATAAAATTATATATATATATATATATATATTTAATTATATACATTAATGAGGTTAAATATTTTATAATTTTTTTTGGGGGAGGGGAGGGGGTGGTAGAGGGGCGGGAAATGGGTCGCGCGTATTTTTTTAAATATTTTTTTTGCTAATAAAACATTTTTTCTACGTTAATGAATTTATCTTTATCTTATTATTATTATTTTTTTTTTTGTAATTATTATTGTTGATGTTTTAAAATTATATAATTAATAATAATAATAATAGTAATAATTATGTCAAATCAGTTAAATATCGAAAAAAAAATATAAATTGTATACATTTATATATATTAAAATATTATTATTATTAGTAAGGAAGGCGTGAAAAAAAAAAAAGTTTTTGTAAAATTTAATATATTTAAATAAAAATATTTAAAAAAATATTTTCAATAAGATATTTTGTATATTTTGATAATAATGTAATATTTTTTTTTTTTTTTAATTATTTACTTGTCAATAATTGTAAAAAATAATTTTTTAACCGCTTGGTACAAACAATATTATTAATTAATAAATAAATAAATATGCTTATGTTTAATAATATAATGAATGAATGAATGTTCAGGCTTTATAAAAAATATAAAAATTTTTTTATGTTGTAATATGTATATATTTACATAGACATACATAAAATTTTTATTTTTTTTTATTAAATAAATAAATAAATTTTTTTTTGTTTAATCAATAAATTATGTTTTAAAAAAAAAAAAAAAAATAGAAATATAAAGAATTTTTTAAAAAAAATTTTTTCCCCCGTATACGAGCGTTTATGTTAAAAAAAAAAAAGTAATAATAATAATAATAAAATAAATAAAAAAAAAT